GCGGGCAGACGAAGGGACAGGGAAAGGGACGTGAAAGTGAAAAGCGACTTTCCGAGCCAGCCGGTGTGGCGAAGGGCCCCCGGCGACGAAGGATGATCGAACCCTGCGGGCGAGCGCGCGTGCGCACCGCGACAGGCACGTCCTGTTCAAGGTCACAGGGCCGCCCACGCCGCACAGTCGTTCCTTCGCCCAGCGAAGACCCGGTGCCCTTTATTGAAATTCGGCGGATCGATTGTCGTGATTGTGGGAGAGCACTCTCTCTGCTCTCTCTCTCTCTCTCTCTCTCTCTCTCTCTCTCTCTGTCTCTCCCCCTCTCTCTCTATCTTTCTCTCGACGACGCACCCTTTCGAGTTGCGAGGATATGTTTTAAGCGAGATTGCTCAGAAATATTAGGGCGGTTCTATTTCGGGATTATTTAAGCTTGCGAAGTATGCCCTTTGAAAAGAATTGTAACGAAACGTAACTAAACAATCAACATAAATAACGAAAGCTGTTTTCTTTATAGAAAAAGATTTGTTTCAGAGATACGTGAATCTCGACTTTTATATCCTGAGATTATTCAGAATGCCTACAATATAACTTCGTCAAGTTTATCACAAGATATGCGTCAGAGATGTAAAAAGCACATCTGTTATAAATATACATCACTTCCAACCAAACCCCAACTTTTTAATAACTCTGAACATCTGAATTAAAATGACCGAAATAAGCATTTCGATATTTTATTCGATTTCTAATATATCAGCCTAATCGCATCTGATATGTTTTAGTCAAATAATTTAATGCAACTTTAAAATATCTGAATTGATTACCCGCGAATTGTTCCAATGATCAAGAAATTTGTATCGCGGACTTGCGTGTCTCTTAATAAAGAAAAAAAGCAAACGTTATTAATGTTTTCTCTCGTCATCCTTCTAACGATAACGATCGCCGATTGCATCGTTCGTGCCGAACACTCGCTCTGCATTCTCATTCGATGCGATTTGCAAAACGCACAGTGAAACGCATTCCGCGGCGATTTCGCACGCCATCAGGTATCTCTAATCTCACGCACTCGCGAATCGCATCCGATAATATCCAACTACGTACAATTCGAACCGGCAGCTGAAATAACACGCGACAAAAACCCGAAGATCCCGGATGCTTGCGGCGGGTGTTTGCTCCGCGAATTCGAGCGGCGATCGCAAATTCCACCGATCGTGACGCGAATTGCCGAGCGAGCGGCCGATTCGATCGCGCGTCCGCAAAATCCAAGATCGATCCGCCGAGCGCGTTGCACTCCCGCTCAACAAGTTCTAGCGCAAAGCGAAAGAATACTTGGACATAGCTAAAGGGTCGAGCGAGTTTATAAATACTCTTGTCGTCTCTTACAATCAATAGAAACGACGAAATTTATATATTTATATATAAAATTAGATATATATTTTAGACTTTGCATCGTAATAATAAAAATCTCAAACAACTATTGTATTTTCGTGACAGACGATTATTTCGGACTCGAATAATAAGTATCTATCCTTTGCCATTGACAGAGAAAAAGAAACGTGAAGAAAAAACATTTGTTTCTCCTTTACTCTCTCGTGTACTTGTTTATCGAACTTAAAAATACCCGAAGGTCCCAAAGGGTTAGATACTTCCGTGTCACAGCCAAGATAAATAGCAAGGGAGAGCGCTTGTTTTCGAGGCTCCGCGAGGTTGCAGCGCAGGTTGCACGTGCACGTGATGCGTGCGGTACGAAAGTATCGCGGGGGCAAAATGGAGCAAAAACGGGCAGGCCGCTCCGTATTATACGGGCGGGGCCGTCCACATCGGTGCTGTGCTGCTGCATTTAATGATCGACGGAAGCCGCATCGTGCCCGTGTTATGCGAGCGATCGTTACGTATTTTAATTTGAAATACATAGATGGATAGGATGTTCCCTCTCCAGATTCTTGTCGCCACGCTTCTTGTCGCATACGAACTCATCAGCAAATAAATGTTTTACAATTCCTAATGCGAAATCAAATTTCAACAAAAAGTCCCGCTCTCGTAAAATTTCTGTTGAAGTAAGATCAGTTAAAATAGAATGCGCAAACACGTTTCCGCATATTTCATACAGTTTAATTTGCTCAATTAAAATCTATATTTTTCAAAAGTTTTATCGCACGACGACATACACGATAATAGATCTCTTCAGTTCGTGTCAATTATTCAAAAAAATGTTCCGCAAATGTTTTTCAAAAATTGCGACGATAATTCATCAAGTACAATTTTTCACCGAGGCGTATACGATAAATATGGGCATAACTTGATTTTAAGTTTTAATCGGCTCTACCGTAGCCATTTAAATCGGATTTCCTCTCGACGCATCGCGCTACTCATCAACGTCGTCACGCATTCGGGTACCGCGATTATCTTTCATCGAAACGTCGTCTCCTATCTGCATGCCTTTAATCGTCGCTATAACACGCGTCGCACGTGTAAAGACGGCACGGCACCAACGACGCCGGAGTAAATCGATGGTCCAAGAACATAGGCGATAATTTTTCGAGGCAAGCAAATTTTTTCTTCTTTAATAATTTGTCAAATCCAGAGTCGATTCTACTAAAATCGATAAAATTGCACGATCACATTTTATTCAAATGCACTGCCTCTCTGCGATCGACTTTTGTGAGAACCACGCGATTTAGACGAAGCGATAAGTGCGAATGCTACTTCGCAGTTTCGACGAGTGAAACTCAATCGTGCATTCGCTCGTGCTGGCTTAGCATTAATTTATCTGTACCGAGAAATGTCTATCATTACGTTACAAAAATCATGCTCAGCTGTTATTATAACCCAGATTTCTATGTCTCTATTAAACGCCCCTCTTAAGCAAAACTAAGGAGATGACTGATGCGAAGGAAATATAATGCAACTCGTAAGTAATGACAAGAAACTTAAACTTTTTATCTTTTCATGTAGTCTATCTGGGGTCTCATCTTCTCATCTAATTCGTCTAGAATACTGTTGGTAAAATCGAAAATTACGATCAGTTATCATAACAAATTATAAAACTAGACAGGCGTAATTTATTTTAATTGTACTTAAAGTTAAAAAAAAAAAGTAAATAGAGTAATACATATATATACCTAAGGCTACTTTCGCGTAATTCATGCCATTCGTGTATCTGGCTAACAAGCGCACTTAAGACATTCAGAATCTTCGGGACACTCTTCGCGAGATGCGAAAATTACTCCGTTTAGTCACGGAAGGAGTTAGACAGCGTCGACGCGATTCGAGGAGCGCCAAAAAACCCGCCGAGTTACCTTTTATCTCGATCGCGCGCGCGAATTTTGCACCGCCCGTGAACCTTCCGCGAATCGATCGCCGGGTTCCTTAGCGAGGATTGCCGCTGGTGCAGAAAGACGTCGCACGCGATGGGTCGTCGTGTCGCAATTTGCAAAATCGCGCGACGAGGAGCCGAGCCGAGCCGAGGAGTCGTTAAACGCGTCGCGTTATAATACGCCGTTACATAACTCGCCGAACTGCGGAATATTTCGAATATCAATAATTAGGTAAATTAGGCACGCAATCGCCATCGATAACGAGTCTCCCCCCCCCCCCCCCCCCACGGTTCACCGGTGGCGATATCTATATATAGCTGTGCTCGTAACATTCTTAAAATTTTGCCGAGCGGCAATTTATTCGTCGCTGCCGACTCGATTATTCGCACTTTATCGAACAGCAAGAACAGAAAAGAAATAATTTAAGCGAATAAATTGATGCTTTCAATAAATTTAATTTAAATTTCTTGCCGTGCGCGATGCAGAAATAATTAAAATCAACCGAATACCAAATATTAATTGGCGCATATCCGCGTGCGGTTTGCAGAGCAATTAATTAAGTATATAAGGTTCACCAATTATCGTCTAATTAAAAAAAATTAATAAAGGCCATTATCCCGTTCTGTTTGGATCGCGGAAACAAATATAATTTTTTTCACTTATTTCATTTAATTGACTCAAGTTTATTCGTCTTTAGTTAATTTGCAAACAGATTGATTCGACGCTAATTAATTTGTCAACATCGCCGCACGCTCCGACGGAACAATGGGGCATAAAGCTATAAATGGCGATTGTCTGTGGAAACCTTTCGATCGCGCGGGCCGACTATCCTCTCGACCCTTAACCCGGGGAATCCCGAATTTCCCATAGCAACGTGACGGTGCACTCCATTACCCATGACCTCCGCGCCCCGAGCGCGCCTCCGCTGCGCTGCCTCTGTATCTGCGAATCAATGCAGCTCCGTCGCGTGCATCCCGGCATTTCCCGAAACGCGGCCGTAGACTAATTGCAACGGAAATTACGGCGAAAGAAAATCGTGCGCGCGTCCACGCACGCCACGCTATTTGCCGCGTTCGTCGTCGCGACGTATAGGGAAGCCTCGCGTTCCCGACGCGCGTTTTCACGTTAAGTGAACCTCTCGGAATTCAGGCTGATCGATTCCGTGAAACAAGAAACACAGAAAATCAATATCAAGGTATAAATTAATCATAAGCCACTACTTTGTTACTAAAATTAAGAGATTTATCGAAAGTCGATCATATAGTCCGGTTTCCGACGGTTTCGAAATATATAACTCACATTTTGTATATATTTGTCCAGAACTTAAATGTTACATTGGAAAAATCATACTTGCGTGCGTTTAGCTACGAATGGAGTAGAAAGTAAGCGTCATTATAGTTCGCATTCTCATTGCACGCTCATCACTAGGCCTGTTTGATCATAATGACAACTACGAGCTACTTTCGTATTAGATGTATGAAGCTTGAAATTAGATGAATCTAATAAGAGTTAAATCTAATAAAAATTAAATAAACATTAAGGTGGACGAAGGAATAAATATCAAGCTCACATTTGCAGTGTACCTTGAGTGTTAAATATTTCTGGTTTTCCCACTCGTCATTTGTGACGTTAAAAAATTCGTATGCCCGGGCGATAAATTGTGGTGGCTAGATAAAATTTTTAAACACCGACGAATAGAAAGGTACCGCAGCGGCTAAATAAAATATGTATATTCCAGAATGCACCGACGGATGCAATGCGGTCGGGCAAGACAATAATCGAATTCAGACGTTGATCAAATTCTCATCACGGAACGATCGAGATTTATTAATTTCTTCATGGCGCAATATAAAGCACGCGTTACTAACCGAGATAATCGATCTACCTGAGAGTGAGAAAATTTTATATTTTTATAAAAGTTTTGTGTGTGTTGCACGATATTTTCTAACTTTCAGTGTTTTTCTTATAAAATCTGCGTAAATAACGTTTTTGATATAAATTTGATGTTAGAAAGTTTTACAGCGAGATTTAAGTCGTTCATACCGGAGCAATATCTTCGATAAAAACTTTGAAAATTTCTGTTTGATATTCCCGTTATGGAAAGAAACGTTTCTCAACAAAAACTCTGAAAATTCCGTTTAGATGCATGAAAAAGTAGGTATATATTACGAAGCGATGTTCAATATTATAACACTTTTTATTTGTTTAAACGCTTATCGTTAAGCAACGTTTATATACTTAAGTGTCATTATGTTTCACGTGAATTCAAATCGATGACAGAATCGTTGTCCAGATCACCGTGTTATATAAGGAATTATATAAGGAAATGACAAAAAATTAATCGTTAGGCAATGCACTTTATGAAGGAAAAAAATAAGATAAAATCTAATATAGTAGTAATTATTCAACATTAGAACATTAGAAAAGTACCCACAGCGAAATACTAAATCGATATTAGCCATTAATCTCGTTCGAGACAGAAGTACGTTCTCACTCAGATATGGGAGTAAAATAGATTCATAAAGAGCGCCTCGGGGGGATAAAGATACGTATTTATCGACAGATGTCGAAGGATAAAATAAAGTCCAGACTGATTATCTTTCATTATTATTCAGATAAAAATACATTCTCGAATGAACGCTGGGGATTAATTCGAGACAAATGCCTTGAGGTACCTGTGGAATTATATGTATACTTATAAATAAATAAATATTGTAATTAATAATAAACTTTCAACTAATAATTATTGTAAATGTGCTTCTGTCGAGTCAAGTCGCCAATGGTAAAATATGATTTTCAAAGGAATGCTTCGAAGAAAAACTTCTAATTCAGAATAAATAATTATCCTTATTAATAGTAATTAATTTAGAAAATAAGATATGTAAAATTTTAAAAATATAATTATTTATTCAAAAGATAAACTTGGCTAATATAAAAATTTCTTTAAGTAAACAAAAAATTAAAATATATTGCAAATTTGAATCACAAAACTTGAAATTTACAATAAATGAATAATGTAAAAAATTTTCAAGGTTCAAAATTTTAATTAGTCTCCCCTACAAATGTGTTATTAAAAATAAAGTTAATAAAAGATCGTGTTATTTTTATTTCATCAATGTGTTTTCAAAAGCGTACGATGCATGGGTAAAGCAGAGGGGTTCCTTAGGGGCAGTTCCAGGACGACGTAAGGACACGTGGACGTGAACGCGATGCTCGAACGTGTTTCGAAAGAGGGAACTCGCTCGCGCAAACTGGACGAGTTAATTTTAGTTTAATCGACCGACCTGATACCGAGCTCGCGCATACGAGCGGCAATGCACGTACGAGCGTGCACGACGGCGAGTTATACAAAGTGTCACCGAACGGACGCGTCGAGGACAAAACGCGCGCCTTCACGACGATAAATATCGCGCGAGCAGCGACGACAGAATTTGCGTCAGAAAGAACGTCAGTTGAGGTAGGGAGTGCACAGAAAAATATAACAATATATATTATACTTATAAATAAGCGTGTGCCAATGTGTGGTGTTAAATTTTCGAGTCTCGAGCGTTTAAGCAAGGCGGAAAGCAGCTAATTACAGATAGCCAATAAACCACGCGGTCATTGCATCAACGGTATCAACGATATCTCGGAGACAGTCGAGAAGCCTAAGAAAAAAGATATGTCATCAGAAAAGGAGATCTCGTCGTATGATCGATAATGCCACAAGATATACGCGACTGTCGGATGACAAATTGCATATAGCGCGACTATATACATGCGTCGGCGGGTTACGTGCACGTCCACACGAGAGCCTCGTTTCCCCCCACCCGTCCAATCCATTTCCGAGTTTTCCGACCCTTGGACAACGGGCGACGTCATCGACGCCCAGGATGCGAAATCCTTGACGAGCGTGCAGCAACCGGCCAAGGCCGAACACTTGAACGCGTTGAGCGCGGTAGCGCGTTGAGAGAATTTCAGGAGCGGTTCTCTCTAATATCGATTAGAGAACGGCGCGACTGGGGATAAGGAGGTATAATTGAAGATTTTACATGGGTGAATTTAACGTTCAAGACTTCTCGTGATGGCTTTATCATTGTTTCGAGTTCAGTGATTGATCCAATTTTAATAAAGGTCGCACTTGCTTCTAGGAAAGTTTTCGACAACTCGCTCCTGAAATGCGTATAAAGTCTCTTCAACTTAATTCAATTAAACTATAATTTTTTTTATATTAAATATCGTAAATTATGTCAAGATTTTTAAAAATATTATTCTTGAAATGTTTTCAAAGAAAACTTTTGAACTTTTGCACACATTTTTTTCGTGCTAATTATTGCTAATTATTTGCTTAAAACTCACAAGATCAATATATTTAAATATGGCGAACAAATATCGATGCTCGATAATCGACGAAGAATATTAAATAAAATTATCATTATTTCTTGTCATTTATAATTTCTCAAAAAATCGTTTTCTGATATTTCAAAGACATCTAGTTTTTTGCAATGCTCAAAAATATTTTCTTCCACCAAAGGAGTTGCCATTCATCTTGAAATAGAAAAAAAGCGAATTCAATTTATCGAAAAAAAAAATTCCATTGAATCGTCTTGAATATACTTTTCTTTTACGCACCCACGCAAGATAGCATTTTACATTATCCCCAAATTTAGATCACTCGATTTTTCGATCCGCACGCTCTTATTTCCTCCAATCCGGGTGATCCATACGCACATCAGCCTCCGAAGGGGATGGGATAGCCAGAGTTATGGCGTATAGATCATCGCGCTGGAATCGGATAAACGAGGATGCCGACTGAGTTTCCAAAAAGAGCAGGAGAGAGACAGTGTCGCAATGCAGATCTCCCCCTTGTCGCGATAAAAATGAAAAAGTGCCGCGCGATCTTCGATCTTTCCCGAAATAATTCCGCCTCACGGCTCCATCGTAGATCATCGTAGACGCCGGTGTTGTTAAGACATTACGCGGATAAAATTAAAGGGGATATTCTATCTTCTTACACGCGGATAAGATTAAGACGTGTGTGGGTGCCAATATATAAATATAACAATTTAATTATCACACGCTGGAAGAGAAAAAAAGATTGAAATCGTTCTTCGATCTATTATTTTTTATCTATGAACAAACAATAAATCATTTAAATCAATATCGCGACGTTTATCGTTTGTTCGTAAATAAAAATTCGTGGATGTATCTAGATTTTTTTCCGGGTCTACAAATTATTAAAATGAAGACACTTCAACTGATTAAGACTGATAATGTATCTAAAAGACAAGATTAAAAGATTTTATTATCGTGCCTCGATATAGATAAGATCATATAATTAAATATTATACATTTATAGAAATCTAAGACTTTCTGGTTCTTTCAAGTTCTTTTATATCTTTATAAAATTTTATGAAACATCACACTGTTCACACATCAATGATAAAACGCTATAATACACGTTAGTCTATGATTAAACAAAAAAATAATTAATAAAAAATCGTAATAAAAAAACTGAGAAAAATTCTAATACCGCTAATACATTACTGAACTAAAAATTATGCTGTGCCGTTTCTATAGAAGACTTTGGTGCTCGTTTAACAAGATACTTTATTCGTCGGTATGCATCTATATCTAGACTCGGGTCGTTTCAATGCTGCTTTCGTGACGATATTGGCCGACAATTTTCCTCCGTCAATTCGCGGCGATTTGCGTACGCGTTCATGTAAGAGCGATTCTCGCGGGCGGCAAGGGACCTCCTCATTACGGGCTAACAACGTCTAATTAGTCTGCTCCTCTAGAACACGGCAACGTGCACGGTGAATTACGTCAGGCTTGTGCATTTTTTCCAGCGCTTTTATTCGCGCGGCCGACATGATGACGTCGGGATATCTCCGCGAGGCATTAAGCCGCGTGACTTGCGAATCCGTCGACAGATCTCGGCCCACTGCTCCCTTTTCGGCATCGAATGACTATAGTGATTGGCGGCAAAGGTAATATCGCGACGCGAGAAAGAAGAGAAGCATAATTTTGGACCCGTAGAGATGCACCGGTGGTGACCGAACGATTAAAAAATATCGTTAGGTAACTCGATCTTTTTGCCAAGTTACGATGTTATTTTCGTCACGCATTTGGATGTGAAGTAACGCTCCACGTATGTATTAGTGTACCGTATACAAACGATCGTTTAAGATTAATAAAAAGAAAAATTGATAAAGAAATCTCTCGCGATTCATTTTTGAACAAACGATCTTCGTCGAATTTGTGGGATTAAAGATTTTTGCGAATCTCTGAGCTTGCGGAGGGGGATTTTCATGATGGATCTTGAAGATTCTTTTGGCGTTTGACGTATTGAATTTTCAAGTCTTCAACTCTTTCGAAACAGTCACGGCATATAAACCACGTGAAGCCACACTGTAAAAAAATTTTGTAAAATTACAACTATTATAGTGGGTAATTTTGAGACCCACTAGTAGTTGTAATTATACAATATAATGGTTGTAATTTTACAACATTACAGTACGGAAGGAAAAAGTAATTTTGTATTACAATTACACAAATTAAAAATGTGTGGAAATTTACACCTATTATAGTGGGTCTCAAAATTACATGTAATTTTACACAATTTTTTTACAGTGCACGCTCTTAAAGGGCACTCCAAGATATTTGAATTCTTTTCCTACAATTTTTCGTCCGCGTTCCCGCGCTAATAAAATTCTTCAACTTTATCCCCCGAGTTTTAACATCCCTGAATTCACCGAGTTCGAGTTACGTCCATCGTAAACGACGGTCCGTCCCGTTACAATGGGGGAGCCGAACGCGCACTCCCGAGGTCGCGCTGCATCTCGATTTGCACCGACGACGCGGGCTAAAGTGCAACATGTGCCGGTTGCATAAACCGAGAGCGAGAGA